TCTTTGGTCAAAATCTGATACACACTTTGAAGCAAATGTTCCGAGATTGCACTGTTGATGCTGCTGAGCGTGCCTCCCCACAGTGACCCTGGACAATGCTCAGCCATACGTAACGACAGACGCCTGGTCTTAAGGGAGATATCGCCTTCTACCTCCTGAACAGGAGACTTTGTAATGCCGTAGCAGGGACCTACCCGTCCGCCCACCGGTATATAGTTGCGGAGACCGCACCCTTTATAGCTCAACGTCTTAAAGACAGATTGTCAGTGTCGTTCGAATCGTACATTGTTTACCAGTTTATTTGCACGTGTGATGCCAAGTAATTCGGGCATACGACCTAGCGTCTGTCGGTACGGATGACTGAGCATCGTCAAAGTGTGTATCAGATTTTGACCAAAGATGCCTTTAAGGTCTATTATGCCGTACCGAGACGATACTCAAAAGGGTTAAGGAAACGCCTCTTGCAGTCGACTGAAGCCATCGCGATCCGACTAACACAACCAGAGCTATGCAAGCATAGGGTACTTGTGCAACTCTTGACTTTGCCATAGCCCTGATGATAAGTCTTCCGCCGGAGTATTACGCATAGCCGAGTGCTATTCATTTATGTAATTACCTAATTTTATATTGTTAGTATTTTTGTCTCTTCTGTTTACACAAGCTATTTTGCTGTCGGTTAGCCCTATCACGATGTCACCTGATTAAATCGGTTTGAGTATCGAACGAACATGCTAAATCTGTTCAAACCGTCCCATCCGTCCTCGTTTATTTTTACCACCAGATTACTGTTGCATTTAGCAGTCCTGTAGCTGTATTGCCGGATGTAAACTACCGAAAAGGAATCTATTGCAACGCTGTGTTTTACTTCTCCATGGGCATTATCTATGAACTAAGAGGGTGCAAGGGACCTTCCGCATTTATAAACTTCAATGGATGTTTGAATTTTAATGCCAGACTTGCTGAAGCAAAGACGGAACTTCGGTTTATACAGGAATGCTTGCAACACAATCAGTATCCTAAAGCTTTTTGGTCCCATCCGTCCTAAATGTTGACTTCACTAGTGTACTGTTGCATTTCTCAGTCATGTAGCTGTAATTGCCTGATATGAACTACCGAAAATAGATCTCTTTGCAACACTGTGTTTTACTTTTCCATGGGCATAAACGAAATTACCAACATGATCCAGCTCAAACTCCATGCGCTCAGAACGCGGTGCTCAAATGGGGACTGTTATTTGCGACAGATAAGCGTTACGCAATTTCTTTCAAACGCAACGTAACATCTACTGGCCTGCCCATTTTGTGATAAGCCTTGTAATACATTCCACAACATTCGGGACTTGGGACTCAGATACTCACGTTCACTCAACCTCTTAGACTAAGCAGCTTACGTCACTGCAAAGGCAAGACAGAGCATTGGAATGTTATTCAGAACACTAAAATTATGGTAATCTATACTCTGCGTCTTTACAACAATTCCTCGCCCCTTACTGGAATACCACTCAATGGTGTACAGCAGCATAAGCAAACGCGACTGTATTGTAGCAGAAAATGTACAACGAACATCCACAAAGGGCTTTTCAGGTGTCTTATCGAAATCAGAAGAGTTCGATGTGCGAAACTCAAACACGAACTCTTCTGGTTGAGGCGCATGAAGCAAAACTTAATCACATTCTTTAACGTGCTGCACAAGAAAACGAATGTTTCCAACGTTAGTATGGCAATAATACAATGACCATTATACCTCACAAGAAATAAGGAAAAATCAGCAGTGAAACGCAGATTGAAGACAAGCAAATCTGCCAACTACTTCTTTAACAGATATATGAGAATCTGGAAACAGCTGGGTGCTATTCCAGCTCATCCCGAACACGGATCCGGGAAAGCCATCATTTAGCGAGACAATAGCTGAGAAAAATCGATTGCTGATCCATTCTCAGCGTCATCGACTAGCGGAACATTCTGAGAAGCAGTTCAGCAGGCCTGCTGCGACAGTGCCGCTTACCGAGTCACGTGCTTGCAAGTTAGAGCACGAATTTGGCATAAAGACCAGCAAATATTTGACTGTACAAAGCGTGATCCACCTATTGGGATGTCACATAACAAAAGCCCAAGCATGCGAACAACGCTCAGGAGCCATAGGATCCAGAAAAGAGTCTACCACATAGTGCATATTGAACTGCGAAAGCCTCCACATTCACCGTCTTCATCTTCTTTCTTCCTCCTGCATGGCTAAGCCAACCACAGTGTTAACACTAGTTATGTATGTACTGAGGCATCAGCAGGCAGTACCGACGCTTCGCTGCCGTGCAGTCACACATGGGCTAAGGATATTGAGAGGCTCGCCCGGCCCCTATACAGGCTCGAACTCGCGCACACAGATTACAAGGCAGATTTGTGATCTTTAAGGCTACGGGCCGGCAAGTATGTATCGAAAGAAGCCAACTGAACACACATCCACATACCCCGTCTTCACCGTCAGTGTTCTTATTCCTCTTATTGCATTTTATTCTTACATTTCCCTATTATCAAAAAAAACTTTTTAAACGCTTCGTATTCATAATATATTATCAAGGAATCTACCAATCCCGATAATGACACCGTGTGCATCAAATAACAAATTGAAATAAAAATTTTTTATGTCCACTCAGAATAGAAAATCGATCTGCATCACTGCTGTACATTTTCCGGTCATTCGTGGTCGTTGCATTAAAAAGTGCTTTTATTTGCCTGAACATATGTCGCAGGCGTACCTCGCTGAAAATGAGTATATACAAGTTTGTTATCCATGTAGCAGTGACAATGAAAATAATGACGCATCGGACCATATCGCAGTTAGATTTCAATCCACGATGGTCAAATATGGTCTCCAACTTCGACTTCGAACTTCTATTGGGATTACTAAGTACCGTATGGAGATAAAGTGCCTCTACATCGCCTCCATTTATGTTCCTACTGACTTTAGCTCGGAGGATACTAAAGATGACTACTACCACCAACTTTTATCGCTTCTCCGCATGGCTAAGTGTATTGACATCGCGATGGTTGCCGGTGTCTTGAATGTCCAAGTGGGTCCCCTCTCAGACTCTGAACAACATCTGGGAAAGCGCTTCAGAGTCGATGCACTCCGAACAGATTATGGTGATCGATTCCTGCAACTATGCGTCGACCACAATCTTTATATTAGCAGCACGGCTTTCCAGCACAAACGTTCACACCGTGTCACCTGGCGCCCACCGAATTCCTCCATGAACTGGATCCAAATGGATCATATTGCTATCAATTACAGGAAGCCACATCAGTCCAAGACTGCCAGTCAATTTGGAGCATATGCCTGGATTCCGACCACGCTCTAGTGCGCGCACGCTTGGCGTTCACTCCTCTTACTTTACCTGTAATTTAAACTAGAAGTCTGCGGTTCATAATGAACTGGCAAAGCCATTAGCTGTGATGTCTTAGTGAGCCGAACGCCGACTGGGATCGTCTCAAGTGTGCTAAGAAGAATGCCTTTGAGGCTTGCTGTGCACCCGACTTTAGACGTCGTGACTGTAACTGGATCTCTGAAGCAACGATCAGTTTGAGCGAGGCGCGTAAATGGGTTCCGAAGGACACTGAATTTCAGCGCATCCGTTACTCTGAAACGATGTTTGAGGAGTCTTCGACTTATCCTGGAATGCTGGCGGATGGCAAGGACCCTTGAGATGGAGAAAACCAGCCCGAACACGGGTCCAGGAAAGCCATCAGTTAGCGAGACAATAGCTGAGAAAAATCGACTGCTGATCCATTCACAGCGTCATCGACTAGGGGAACATTTTGATAAGCAGTTCAGCAGGCCTGCTGCGACAGTGCCGCTTACCGAATCACGTGAATTGATGAAGATGTCACATCTCCCTCTGTGGAAGAGTTTCGACATGAGCTCGTCGTGTTAAAACGAAACAAGGCTCCGGGATCTGATGAACTTCTCCCATCTTTGCTGAAAGATGGCGGTGACTCTTTATTGACCGCACTTGCTTCTCTTTTCGACACGATTTGGGACACTGAAGAAGTGCCTTCAGACTGGCAACTGTCGTACCCACCTCCAAGAGGGGCTAGAGTACTTTGTGTGAAAATCATCGAGGCGTTAGCCGTATTTCCACTGCCTCAAAACTTCTCATGGGTATCATTCTGCGACGACTTACTGGTCTCAGTGAGGACCGAATCAATGAAAATCAAGCTGGCTGCCGCACTTGTCGCGATTGCATCGATCACATTTTAACTCTTCGCCAAGTTTTATTGCAGAGACACACAGACGACCGACTGTGTTGATTTTACTTGACTTGAGATCCGCCTTCAACTCTGTTGTACACGCCAGCTTGTGGCACTGTCTATCCACAAAGGGCGTATCGGCTAAATTCTTTTCCATTATGCAGCCTATCATGACTCTCTAGACTGTGTAAGGGTCTACGGGAAACTGTCTTCTGAGTTCACCACGACAAGTGGGATTCGCCAGGTTTATCCCATATATTCTTTCTTCTTCGACCTGGTGATCGAAATGATCATGAATGACTCGGTTCATTCAGGCTATTCTGGAGTGGACGTTTTACCAGACGACCTGGAGTATGCGGACGACATAGTCCTTCATGGGTCTGATGGACTGGTTATGCAAACATTACTGGATGGACTGACGCGTAGCGCTGCACGCTTCGGCATGTACTTTGCACCAAAGTGCGAAGTGCTGCTGCACGACTTGGCTGACAAACCTCCGGTTCTAGGCCATCAGCGAGCAGCCAGTGAATGTGGTGGATCGGTTCACCTACCTTGGTAGCTGTGTCACCTCTGGTAGTCACATCACTGAAGAGATTACTTCGCGTATCAGCAAAGCTCGAGTGACTTTCTAGAAACTAAACCATCTATGGAGATCGGCTTGACAGTGAAAGCTAGGGTCTATAACGCTAAGGCCAATGTTACTATATGGATCGGATACACGGCCAGTTCGCGACGAAAGTATTAAACCCTTGGCCGTGTTTGACCACCGGTACTTGCGAAGCATTGCTCACGTTTGGTGGGAACACCGAGTGAGCAACACTGAGGTCCACCAGTTGGATTTTGGCTAGAAGCCTACTGGCGCCTCCCTCGAGGATTTGATAAATCTTAATCGCTTGTGTTGGCTAGGCCATGTACTTCGTATGCCCGTTGGTCGGCTTCCTCGGCGTGCACTATACGCCTTGACTGCATCAAGTTGGGCGAAACCTAGAGGTCGCCAGTCCATGACATGGCAGGGAAGGTTGAAGAAATTGACTGAGAGACTTGGTCAGGTGGGTGCGCGCCGTCTTCCTGGATGGGGGTCTCGGGACGGTCCACACGAATGGTTGAACATCATGTCTGAGGTACCGCAGTCACGAAGACAGTAATGTTCCTGAATCCGGATTCTTTCATCTGGTTGTTACTTTTCGTTACATTCTAAATAGGCTCACGCTTTTGCTTCTCGCTTTCATTTTCCCTACATTATATTTGCACCAAACCACACTATCTTGCCGTTATTATTTATTGTTATTCTTACGGTGTGAGTCGTGCCAACTGGATCTACTGAAATACGGTGCTCGGATCATAGTTAATCAACTGAACTGAATGATCGCGACCGCCAGAGATGCTATGACTACGCAGGCAAGCAGACCAATCCAGAGGTTATCCGGCGAAAAGCAATGGGTACTAGTGGTGCAAGGACTACTGGATAAAGACGGTCACATGATCCGAAATAGTATTAGTTGAGTAATCACTACGAAGACAATTAGTGGTTATTGAATAACTCTGGGCGAGAATCTAGGCAGCACATGCATCGGTGAATACAAGATAATCAAGTGAACATCCCCACTCCGTCGGAAAACCAGATTTAGTCGAGTGATTGCAAATGGCGGGATAGCACAGATCGCAATGAGGCTGACGAGAGGAATACGGAGCACAGACGACAAATACGTGCAAAAGCATCTAACCTCGTTTCTGATCAACAAAGCCAAGTAGCGATCCGAAGCCAGCAACCAGGTATTTTCATCCACATAAGCCATGGAGTGTATTATTCCAAGCGTGGTAGAAATTTCACTGCCGAGTACTGACCAGAGGCTAGACAGCCAAATATTTGGAGCGGCATCAACCTGAACGGGAACATCTTCTGCTGCCCTGTACACCTGGTCATCATCACTCGCAGACAGAATGATGCTCCATTCGGACAATTGACTGTTTGTGTACAAAATAGAAACGTGGAATCGCAGATGACTTCGATGGTAGAAAGCCAATGCAACCGGAAGCGGAAAATGACCGGTGGGCGACGGCACACGCGGAGTTTTGAACAACAAACGCCCATTCTCAGCGGAGTAAAGGTGAACTCTACCGTCAGAACATCCGAGCCCAAGTAAAAAGCCACACAGAGTGCGCTCCCTGCAAATTAGCATTCGATGAACGACAACATTTTCACCAGTACCTGTAGGGAAAATGATAAAAATGTCCCAGTGTGCGATGGATAAAAAATAAAACAAAACTGCATAAAAAGGAAGATTAAAAAAGTAAAGTGGGCTAAAACAGGGGAACAAAACACACGCAAAAGCATACTCTCGATACTTTTACAACGACGATACTGCTGCTCAGAAAAAGTAACTTGCTCACTGGGCATCCAGGTTACGTTTGTACAGTGCTACTATGTGCCTAATGTGTTGGTACGCTGCAGTGTGCAGCAAATTAAATGTAGGCTAAGCACAAAGATTTGGATGAAAAATGCGAGCCATTTGACACTGGTGCACGGGGATTTAGTGTTGCGATAAATGTCGCCCTAAATACTAAGAATGGAACTATGTGGACACCATTTTATCGCCATCATCATCAACATTATACACGTCAGCCAGAGGTGGGAAACAATTCAGCTACTGTGCCGCAATACATTAAAGGAAAAGGAAAATAAATACAACAGTTGCGTGCCAGCTGAGCTACCTGGAACGGGTAGGCATCGTTCCGGTAAGCTACCAGCCGGCTACTAGGCAAAAAGAAAAATTATTGTTTTACGCTACGAAATGAGATCGTAGATGGAGGGGAGGCTAAAAGGGATGGGGAGGGACAAAGAAACTCACAGCACGAACGCCACTGAGGTCGGCTCCTTGCCATGTCAGCAAATGTGTCCAGCCAAACGTGTTCGTCTTTTGGACTCCAATCAGAGAGCCGTGACGCTCCAACCGAGGTCAGCTCTGAAGTGAGCGCCTTCATTCCTCTGGACCAAGTCATCGCTTGGCCACCTCTCCTCTTCTTCCATCCACATCCCCGGTAAGCAACCAACGCACGTCGCGGAAGTCGGTGGGCTGGCATGCGCAACACGTGGCCCAGCCATCGGAGCCTGGTGCGTGAAATGACGGTGCTGAGCGGTTCAGCACTTCGAGCTTTTACTATACGGTTCGTGATCTCGTCTTCGATCCCAATGGCGCTGATACAACTTCCCAGGTAGTTGAATTTTTGAACGACTTCTAGCTGATTCCCACTAACGGTCAGCGCAGGAGGCGATCCCTGCCAATCTTGGAGGAACGCTTTGCATTTCGATGGTGAAAAGCAAAGCCCGAAGCGGCTGACAGGCAGTGCTAATCTGTCCAGCGCGGCTTGGCACGTCTGGGAGCTGTCACAGATGAGGGCAATGTCGTCTGCATACTCCAAGTCAAGAAGTCGTTCTCCTGCAAGTAGCTCCACCCCTTCCAAGTTATGTCCTGTAAATATAATCTCCATGACTTCATCAATATCGAGGTTGATGAGGGAATATAGATACTCAGCAATGGTGCAAAATCATTTAAAAACCGGAAGTTGAGGTGATAGATACTCTGGCCCTCGCAGAGCGCAATTAACGGCGGCCTATCTGCTGAATCAAGCAGGTCGAGGATGCTACTGCAGAAGTCTTCTCGTCTTATTCTTCTTATCGGGTTTTTCATCCTCCCGTTCCTAATTCACTTTGATCCCACCCCGCGATGATACCCTCTCCTCCAGCTTGCTTCAATAGGCATTTGTCCTCTAGTTTCAACTCGCAATCGCAGGGCGTCGCTCCAGTCCGGTCGACAAGTCCAGGTTCAGCCAAGTGGAGCCCTTGATCCTCGCTAAGACTGGCACGCCTCAAGGTGCGCATTTTGCTAGATTGGCCAACAGGCAGCACTAGCCCGAACACTAGAGACCATACCGACCGATATCTGCTACTTGTCGGAAACTCGCCTGCAAGATTCGAGCTCTGTACTTACTCTGCGAACCCAACCTGCGGCATTGAAGGCGCTTTCTCATTGCGCTTATCGGGAAATGACACAGCTTCAAATTCCGATCAATCCGAAGCGGGTATTGCTCTGAGTACCCGGACTAAAGCTGCCCTGATCAACTGGATCACTGTCAACAGCCGGACTCGCTGGCTCGTTTCAAGCTACAAAGTCACGCTGTCCTTTTGTCATTGCTACTGTGAAGAGTAAGCCGGGTTTCGCCGGGAGCGGGGCTACATACATCATACCTTTACTTTGCGTCAATCAGTATGAAACAAGATCAGAAATCACTTCAGGATAAAGAATTCTTTTCGGTAAACTCTCCTCATTCCCTAACATGCATACAGCACTGGTTATGTGTGAAAAGCATCAAATCAGGATGAGATTTACTTCTAGGCTGTCCGGAATGTCTGATGAAGAAATGTGTTCGAATGACATAAGTAAAGGTTAACCAAGAGCTAAACGCGCGTAGTTCGGGCAGAGTGAGGGCTTACGGCAAGCTGTCGCCGCCCTTCAATCTCTCTAGTGGAAACGTGTTGCTCATGTCAACATAGCAACTCCCACGACGTGCGTTGCATGCGCACCGAGAGATGACTTGGCCAAGAGCAATGAAGGTGCTTAGTTTGAAATTGGCCTCGGTTGGAGCTTCTCGGCTCCTTGATTGGGGTCTAAAGGACGATGAACATATTTGACGGAACGCATTTGCTGACATGACTAGAAAGTGACCTCAGTGGCGTTTGAGTTGTAAGTTTCTTTGTCCCTCCCCCCTCCAACCGAGATATCATTTCCTAGCATAACATAGATTTGTAAAGTTTATTTTTCTCTTGCGGCACAAAAGCTGCATCTCAGCTTTCCAGAACGATGTTCATCAGTTACTGGTAGCTCAGGTGATGTGCCTCGATTGCATGTGTTTATTCTTCTAGAGGTATATAACGATGATGCTGCGTACGCCCCTAGAAACGGCAGCCTTGACTCGGTGAAAGATAAGTTTCATCATCAATTGTACGATCTCCTTCGTCTCAAAAAGTACGGAGAATACGGTACCTGCTGGCGATCTGCAGCTCAAGTAGAAAGATTGCCCACTGAGGAGCTGTAGCTGGGCGACTAACATGGTGTAGGCTCTCGTAGTGACAACGGTGAACGATTACTTCATTTGTGTGAAGATGCTCGTCTATTTCTCGCGAGCGCTAATTTTCTATATATCACTCGCAGAAGAGTGGCACGGCACCCACCAGTCACGGACCAGCCATTCAGGCAAATCGATCACAGCGCGATCACCGACCGCTGGAGGGGCTGCGTCCAAAATTGTCGCTCGATCTGGAGCACGAGCGTGAACTCCGCTCACGCACTCGTATGTGCCGAACTGCGGATACGTGTTGGCGGACGTCTACAACGGCACTGTGAGCGCATAGATATCAACCAACCGGCGAAACCAGACGTTGCGTACCAAAGTACGCGGGTATGTCGACTGAGTAGACGCTCACTGAACAGAGCTTTAGGCCCATAGTCGCATATCCGCCAGACGTTATTACCAGCAGGTAAATCCTAATTTGGTAAAACTAATAGTTAACCTGAACATTGAGTCTATGTGCAGTCTCTGGAACTTTTCTATGCTCGCCAACACATTCCGGGTGGAAGCGAACACGAGACTCGCGAAGACCTCAGGGCAAAAAGGTGCGCTAGCCAGAAGAGAGACCGCGAAGCCTGGTGGTCTCATCGTGAATCAGAATTGAAGACAGCTACTTCCATATGTAACCATTGTGTTATTCCGTCTGATATGGGAAACGAGCAGCAGACCTGGTATTAGCGAAACTAAGTGTGACGAGAGTGAATAGCCAATCCATAGTTTGTGAAAAAGCTTGGATCATTGATCCGAATACTTTGAAAAGAAGTTTAGTCAACTAGTTGCCATCTTCCTTATCGACCAATGATTGTCTTACTCCCCCAGGCCATGCTCTTGGATCCGTCCTCACGCGTGGAAATTGGACGTGAGATCAGAGTCCTGAAATTTCACAAGGTCGCAGAGACAGATAGACTCACTCTAGGACTTTCCAAATTCAGAGGACCTGCTCCTGCAACTTAATCGCACAACTTACTTGGGAAGTTTTAGGAGCAGGATACTATTCCAGCAGAGTGAAGTCGTTCCATAAAAGTCTCAGTCTTCAAGTGAGGCCCACGTTCAGATTGCGGCAATCATAGAGGGACGAGTCCGATCTCAGATGCTTCCAAGCTGCTTATCTCTGTAGGACCCCATAAACTGATTGACACTAGTGAAAACCAGATTCGTGAGAAACAAGCCGGATTTCGTCGAATTATATGCTGTATTTGGCCACCTCTTCACCTTACGTCAATTGTTGGACCATCACCACACTTATCGGCAAGCTACCATAGTCGTGTCCCTCGACATTAAAAATGTCCTCGAATCGGTAGATAGATGTGCCCTTCGGAAATGTCTGTTGAGGAAAGGCGTGCCCGAGAAAAACATAAACATTATCCGAGAGCTGTACTGTATAGTTCAAGGAAAGGGTTTATGGCAAAGATTGCCGCCCTTCAATATCTCCAGCGATGTGAGACAAGGATGTCTGCTGTAATCTGCTCTATTTAACTTCGTCTTTGGCGAAGTCATTGAAACGGTGTTCGCCGGGCAGTGCGGAGCTGCTCCCAGGTGAGCGACTTCTCGACTCGGAGTATGCCAACGACATTGTGCTCATCAGTGACAGCTCCCAAACGTGTCAAGCAGCACTACAGATTAACAGTGGCTGTCGGTCGTTCCGCTATGCTTTTCACTATCGAAATGCAAAGCCCTTCTCGGAGATTGACAGGCGCGCACCCCTGCACTGGCTTTAAGTGGGGACCAGCTAGAAGTCTTCCAGGAATTCAAGTATATTGGCAGCAGTATCAGTGCGAGTGGAATAGAAAGTGAGATCACAAACAGCATAGCAAAATTTCGAGCCACTTTTGCCCATCTCCACTATCTATGGCGCAGGTGCGACATCACTCTCTCTCTGAAGAGCAGAGTTTACAATGCCGCCTTACGTTCCAGCCGTACAGGTAACGGTTGCGAAGCCTGGCCAATCACATCGACAGATGCAAAGAAGGTTTTTACGTTCGACCACCGATGCCTTCGAAGCTGACCTAATGTCTGATGGGAACACCGCGTGAGCAATGAGCGTGTTCGACGCCTTGTTTACGGAACATGAAGATGAAATGAACCGCTCAGAACCGTTATTTCACGCACCAGACTGGGCAACGTGCTGCGCATGACAACACACCAACTCCCACGACGTGCGTTGCATGCGCACCGGGGTTGTGGGTGGAAGGGGGGGGGCTAAGCGATGACTTGGTCAAGAGGAATGAAGGATCTTAGTTCGAAATTGACCCCGCTTGGAGCTTCTCGTCTCCTTGGTTGGGGTCCAAAGGACGATGAACATATTTGACGGAACATACTTGTTGACATTGCTAGAAAGTGACCTCAGTGGCGTTTGTGTTTTAAGTTTCTTTGTTTTTTTCTTCCCACTCCAACAACGACGTCACGCTGCATGGTTGGTATTACACTTAATGATACATTAATTGTTTATTAGTTTTTGTAATCTGTAATGTTCAGTATCTCACTTTTTCCTGTATCTTATCTTTTCTATTTCGGAAAGATTAGCTGAAGTTTGTTTCGCATCTTCAGCTAATATGGAATAATGATGATGAGTGGCTGTGGTTAAAAGAACATCGAAGGCACGTGAGCTTAAACGAACAGAAGAAAGCCATATAACTACTTGGTATTTGAATGCGGAAATGACGGCATCATAGGTATCGTCAAGTCAGTTCCGCATCAACAGGAGATCCGGTGATTATCAGCAATCGTTCCAATTTGCGTTTTTGCTCACCTCTCAATAATGAATTAGACAACATGCAAGCTATACTATTACCGGGGATGATAGACCTTGATACTGTAAAAAGAAGTCCATCATCGTCTTGGAACAATGTTATGCGGTGATCGAGCACTCCACCAGGTTTGCTGAAAAACACTGGTTCTTATATCCTATCCCAACAAATTTGACTTCATGGAACAACCGATTTGTAATCTGACATGGTGTTATGAACACCTTCATTATATTACTGAAAATTTTGAAAATCTTTTACATTTTGTGCGTCTCGGAATAATTTGTGATCGGTGTACTGCTGAGTCATATAACTGACGGATCATACCTGGTAAGGTGGACTTATGAAAATCGAAAAGCACTTATTTATTTATTCTATTGCGCAACCCATTTGCCTCATCAATGAAAAGCAGTAATGTTCCCTCTCAAAGTAAACAAGGTGGTAATGCGGCGGAAGTTGATTTTCGGGTTTTAGAGCACCCGTCGTGTGTCTTGGATTGCGATACGCGATCTCAGCCTCTGCCAATACGGTCACTGGGACCGTCACCGAAAATGAAGGTGGTAATGCCAATATCTTTAAAAAGGGTTTAAAATGTGACACAAAACTGCCGTGTAATCAGCCACATTTCCACACTTCTTAAATATACAAACGGGATTAAAAAGTTAAGATCTCTCAGCTTCGATTAACAAGAAGCTGGTTGTGACATGGTCCCTATCGGTCAAACCATCTAGACAGCCGGGATGACATCAAACTCAGTCAATGACGGTAAAGCAGAAATCATTATCTTCCTTGAAATGTGGAAACACATGTGGTTAAGCACCTAATGATGGGATCTTGACTGCCTTAGTAAGATACGGCATTACTGTCTATTAGTACACATCAAGCTCTGTTCCAAAAAGTGAAGCAGTCAGAATCGGCAAATGCACATTTTGTCGCAACTAAGAAACAAGTGGTGTCCTATAAAACAGTACCCTGGGATAACCACTATAATTGACGTGTATTAACAACGTCTTTGAAATTCCAGTTCGTGACACACCACATGTTTTACCGATGAGACGAAAGCGTCGTCTGTTTTTGACTCCTGAGACAAGGAACCACGCTTCAAAGATTAGAAGCTGAGCAAGTCGGTCCTGAGGAATGGTGCTGTCCTCGAAAATGAGTTGCCACCTTGGAAAGAGCAATACTACTACATATCCGTGCGATCAAAGGGGATATGTATTCAAAGTGAAGAAGAGTTAATAATGCACTCCGATTTGTAGCAACAAATCATTGATTTGTCAGCAGGTGCGTGATGGCGGGCGTCGTTCGCAATGAACCAAAAATGTCTTCAATCAAAAAAGAAAAAATTCGGTAGAGGAAAAATTATACATCGTGAAGTATTAAAGCCAGAGGAGAGGGACAGGAACGATGAAGGAAAAGACTCTCTGCATGAATCCAAGAAATGAGTCAGTGAAAGAGTACCTCTTAAAATAGTAACAAGCTCCAGTCAAAAAGGATAGCATTGGAGGGTAGAGAATTCCGCAGATACCTTAAGATCGTTACATTCTAGTGTATTGCGAAATTTCTTTTGTACTTGATAACTTAGTGAAAAATATTATAAGCAAACATTCTGCCCGATCTCCTCGGTGTGAGATGTGGCGCATGAACAGGAACCGCAAACGATTGAACAGAGACTGTGGCAAAGGACAATCGTGTGCGTACCTGATGTTAGACTTAACTGCCATCGTACTTTTCCCGTACGCACCGAAACGCAGAGCAATTCGGCAGTACTTCGTGAGGCCAGGATCAGGTGGGAAGAGTCAGGAGTGAATACAAGGCAACGAGCTGAAGGGAGTCCTGAAGGTGAGCGAAGTTCCGTAGAAAGAAGCGAAAAATCATTCGTGGGTGGTTTCACACGTGACGGGAACACAACACTTTCTGTGGTTGACTGATTGATGACAAAGAACTTCGCAATCTCTGATGCAGATAAGTCATCCGTGTCAGTATCAGTTTCAGACGAAGAGGTGAGATTTGAGCCCGACAACCTGGATTCGGATGGAGAGCGGACCGAAGATAAACGCGAGTGCTCTTTTTCGGCAAATTGCAAACGGTGAATGAAGACGGATGGCTTGTCGCAATCCTTACCCGGCTATTTTATAAAGGGAAAGATAAAAACATGATACATGCACCAAAAAGTCAGAGAGCGCGCGAGCAAGAGAGTAATGGATACACCTGAAAGCAAATAACCGTCACTGAAATCACCCCTGTCATTACTGAATAAGCAAGTAGAGGGTAGATGGAAAAATACGGGAGACGCACCGAAGCATGAATGCGTAGGGACGGTACTACTGTGAAGATCAGCAAGAATGACACGAACTATTGGGTAATTTTCACTATAGCTTGTTTCGATAGGGGGCGTACGAAGAAAATGTGGGATGATAGAAAACCCGGGCAACTTATGATCACGAGAGTGGGAAATGCTAGGAAAACCGCATTATACAAGTGAAAGGATCTGGATGTTAGGTCGTAGAACTGTTTGCACCACCATGTAAGTGAAAATTCAGTATAAGCTGGCAAAGTGGTCTTAAATAATATATCCAACTGGTGGCGAAGAGAAACTAGCTTCATATGCCCCATGTCAAACAACTAACGTTGCAAATCCAGCGGTTTGTTGATTTAAAATACTAAGCTAACCATCGCTGCCTAACACTTATCGGTATGCCTCATCGTAGAGACCAGGCTGCAACCACCTAACGTCAGGGAAGCAAAGTAGGCGACGAACATCAGAGAACGAAAGTAGCTCGGGATCTTGGGGTATCATCATCATCAACAGCACATCAGCCACTTGTACTGATGGTTCGCTATCGTATAACCACCGTGATCTACGGAATGAAAAAGAATAGGAGTGAGAGAAGGGGGACCTGGCGTTAAACAATGCCCTAAACAAACACGGGGTAAAGGCGCTGACACCTTGTCAACAACATCCTATCACCAATAGCTGGCTACCAACGAGACAGATTCCTCGCGCCTTTCACTGCCCCGCGTCATAAACAGCCATTACTCGGCAGATAACTCTGCGCCAAACAAGTAAGCCTACTTGGAGACGACAACAGACAGTCCACTGGTGTCGACTGCGAAGCATGTCCTGTATCGCCTCCAAGCACAAGGCGGGTCACGTGGACTCCAGTCTGGAAGGCGAGACGGACCGATGGCATCGAGTTAGGTCGTCAGTGACTTCATTTCCCGCCGCGAAGTTAATTTTTGCCCGCCTTGGGTCTTGCGCAACTCTACATCTGGTAAATGAAACAAGGCCCTCCTCGGTAAGCGATGACCAGGCATACGTGGTACGCACTCAAGCCAACGCAATTTATTCACTGCTATTTGTTGTTCCGAGGAACAAATCTGGTTATCATTGCCTGGTACTCGCTTACTCGTATCATCGTTGCGGACACGCTGGTGCTATCCGAGACCAGAAAAAGATGATCAAAAACTTGAAGGCACTGCAGGTCCTCAAACCGGAGGGACCAAGTCTTGATTCCATAAAGTAGGACAGCTCTCATTGTGTTCTTGTATACACGGCCTTCAAAAGTGACGGAAACCATTTTCTGATGCCACATATTCAAAAAGGCAGTTCTAGGTTTTGCAATGCGTAAACGGACTTCAGTTGCTATGCGCCCATCGTTGCTGATACAGCTTCCAAGGTAAGTGAATTGATCAGCTACCTCGAGTTCCTCGTCATCGAAAGTCGTGGGTCGGATCAAGTGGTTGGTGGTCCTGTAGCAGCACTCTGAAGTTGCGAAGCGCATGCCAAATGATGGGACCATTCTAGAGACGTTACTTAGGGTTGACTGCACAGCCCCATCTTTAAGAAGCAGTACCATATCATACGCATAATCAAGATCAGCTAGCGTTTCACCAAGCAGCACCTCGACGCCTGTATCGTTAGACTCCACAAGGGAACAATATATGACGGAGTCCAGGACGAAGTTGAACAAAAACGGGAAATCGGACAACCTTGAGGAACGCTATTTGTTGTCTAAAAGGCATCCGACAAATCACCGTACACCCTCACGCGGCCTGTGGTGTTCGAATATAGGGCCGGTAGAAAGTTTACATTACTCATGGGGACACTTTTCCGCGCAATTATTTCGGAATGCATCGATTGACTGAATCGAACGCACTCTTGAAGTTCAAGAACACAGCTATTGTCGACCTGCGGTACGTGTAGCGCTGCTCTAGCACCTGCGGCAGAGTGAATATGTTGTCAATACAGCCACGTCCCGGGCGGAAACCCGCCTGCGCCTCATTAATCCGTGATTCTCGGTCCGCAGTGAGGCGACGAAGGAGAATTGAAACTAATAATTTCGTCACCACCGGCGTTAGGCTAATAACCCTGTGGTTAGTACAGTCGGTGCGACTGCCTTTCTTATATATCGCCGCTATAATTGATTAACTCCAGTTAGCTGGGATGGTCTCTGCCTTCCAAATCCGCTCCAACAGGGAGGTCACTGTTTGGCAGAGGACTTCCTCAGCATCCTTAAATAGTGCGGATGTGAGCAAATCCAGACCAATAGCACGAAAAAAATTAAAGACTGCGATCGCGTTTCGGACCTCAGCCTCTGACGGAGTCTCTAAGTTAACTGGCCATGAGTCAGCCTACAACACCAAGGTAGGAAGAGGTCCAGTAATAGGGGGACAACTGAAGTGCTCTCGAAAGTGCTACGCCCAACGATCCAAACGGCGCTCCTTATCGTGAATCAGTGCACCCGCGCTGACTGATTGTTTCACCGATGCCTAGTTTTCTTGGGCGAGCGGTGCGGATTCGTTCGAAGAGCTTGTGAAAATGCTTAGTGCTCTTGCTTCCTACATTTTTTGAGCCCGACTGGTCCACCAGGCTTAAGTGTCAGCACGCAGGCTCCGCTTTAGTTCGCGCCTAATAGTCCGTCTGGTCACAAGGTGCTCAGAGCCAGCCGGGAGTTTTCTCCAGGATTCAAACAGGCTCAACGACCTCTCGGATATCTAGTGACCAGTGCAATGACGACTGGTAGTGCCACAAGCAGAGACTACTGCATGTTGCATGGCGGCGATCCTATTCCATTGAAGCTCAGTGACATTAGGCCAAAAGTGCGAAAATACGGTAAGCAGTGAATCCTGGTAGACGCTTGGCACGCTTCAGGGTAAAGGTCATAGCAAATCGACAGCGTACCAAAACATGATCCGAGTCGACGTAAGTACTCCATAATGAGTGACAATCCAGGATGGAACCACGCCACCTGTAACTTATAGCAATGTGATCTATCTGAGTCCACCGCTGGTCAGCTACAGGAGGACGCCAAGTGGCACTTCGGTGTCCGCAGTCTGAAAGCGGTACTACTAAGAAACAGGTGGTTCTCCGCACAGACGCTCGCCGTTGTACGTCCGTTCGGAGTTAAGTCCATAATTTTTCTTGTCAGGTCATCTGCACCTAATCTGTGAACTGGGTATCCGGAACCTTATTGCCCTGTCCTCGTACGTTCTTGTTGTGGGTTTCTTTGTCCCCCACCCCACCACCCACTCCGCTTGTCATCCGCGTCAAACCGCGATGTCAAGCCGATGCGTAAGATGATACTAAACACCATGCTACTTTTTGTTTTTATCATCTATTCTGTAATGTCCTGCATTTGGCTTTTTCACATATCTTACCTTTGTGTATTGCTTACGTGTAATGGTGATGATGATGATGATGATGACTCTATGCATATCGTTACTGCGCTGAGCAACATTCATATACAGCACGCGTTACATACAACACGACCAATGTGCAGAGGACAGAAACAGACTGCGCGTGTTTAGCCTCGGAATTCTGAGAAGTAGTTCCGCAACGGACCCATTGGTGCTGCACTGGAGCGACTGCGGAGATAAACTACTTACGCTCCTTACGTAAGGTGTTTCATATGTATGCAAACTCTGTCTCGGAGAGTATACTTTAAGAAAATGACGCGTAATAGGATAAGACCATGTGGCGCCACAGAAGAAAATGAAGGAACTCGCCAACTGGATGAGTCACGTCGATACTTGTCGTTTTCTTGAATGGGAACCTACGAGATCAGCCACATCAGTGGTTATCTACTCCATAGGATATGGTGTGGTCGAGGTCGGCTTTTCTGTTGCGTTCACTCTCTTAATTCTGATAGAACCACTTAAGATGAAAATTTCGTCTCTGTCCACCTCTTTTGATTTCCAATTGATATGCATGCGGGTCGTAGGAGTGAGGTTATATGGTATACGATGATTGCATCGAGACTAATTTCAGGCAGGCAACCAGCCACATCCATTGCTTATTCAATTGTTTAAAGAAGGCTTGGCGCATGACCGGTTAATACATTTACTGTAATGCACAAAGTTGCGTACTTGACTCAAACGCTTCTTCAGGCTAAGTGAATTAGCCCGAAATTGAGCAGCATTTTGTTACGAACATGGAGAAGTTACATAAAAAAGACTAATAAACTTGCATTTTATTGGTAAAAGGTTATAGAGATCAAAGATCACTAGGTTCGTGTGTACTCCGTGGTTTGTTTCGTACTGTGGCTAATCACAGTCCCAGTGACGATAAGTACAGAAAAATGTGAGCTACATAACAATTTCCATCGCTGCGGTAACGCCGGCAATAACGAAGTGATTTGAAAGCTATATCGCCGATATCGCCTTAGCCGTGCATTATTGCCACATGATTTTGACAATATGACATTCATATGCCCCCATGTATGATAACAGGTGCGTAAAGTCCCTTATTCAGTAAATACTTGCACTAATTGCCCTTCTGAAATAATGACTTATCTATCGCAACCACATGTAATGGGAAATTTGAAATGATAAGATCAATTTCGTCAAGAGTTTTGGATGGGGGAGATCAAGTGCATGAAAACGAATCGACAGTGTTTGCATAATGTCTAGTAAAAAATGTGGGGTTATTTCGTAGTAAATCTGTTCAGATAATCCATCTCTGCTTACAGGCTGTGGTAACAGTCAGGAATGGTAGTGTGATCACCACCTATTGCATTATTGGATACAATTGAGATTTGGTGCGGGTTCACTTGAAGAAATTTATAAAGCAGGATAAAAGCAAGTGATAAAAGTCTAACGTTGAAAATTAGTTGAAGAAAACAGAAATTTCAGACCAAAGTCACATAAACGAAAACTTATTAGTGGGATCCATTGAAATTGAAAACTAGACACTAAGTAAATTTCCGGCATCGTTAAAGCAAAGTGGTCTTTTTCGCCTGACAACCCATGACAGAATAGAAAAAATGCCGTTAACGGCTAATCCAAACAATTTTACAATCTCACTATCAGAATGTTGGGTAGGTGCGTGCGTTGTAGAATGAAGCAAATGTGAACACCTACATTACTGTGTATGGGGTATCCTATAGGATCAGCAACGAAGCAGGATTGAATCCGATAGTTCAGCAGGCAAACAGGGACGCGTTTTCCTCGATCAGATATCGATGGTTGAGTTTCAATGGAAGCGTTAGGTGAATGTGCAGTTGGGCCAAGTCAATAAACGCCTCAATAACGAATCTAACTCATTTCACTAATCGCAAGCGCCAGCCAATTAACCAACAAATGAAGAGAGCCTATTTGTGACGCACAATCCATACGACTATAATAAGCGCAAAAGTATTGCAAATGACTGGCACTGGACTACAACGTAGTTGAGGAGTAAGCAGAGGTAAAAGGACCATGACAGAAACAGAGCATCTGTAAGCGCCTGAAACTTTTAAGTCAAAAGCGAAACAATGCGCATTTAACAAATACCTTAACCGGTCGTTTAGCAACCTTTTTGAAATGATCACTCGTAAGCGCATATTAGAAAATCGCATCACCGCGCGTAACGAGTAATTTCGAACTTACTGTGACAGTCACTTTGAGAATGCGGGTGCAAATCTCGTCTGAGTAAGCGATAAGTTCACCATTCGCCGAAATACACGAGGATACCAAACTCGATCCCCTTTTAGGGCGAATTTCAGCTAATTGTAACACTCCATCAGCCATGCGCAGAAAACGCTGTGTTCCACGCGAACGAACCACCCGGTAACCTTGGTTGGATTCTACCGGCCGCGCGAGCTGGACTAAGGAGAGTCGATCAGGATAATGGAAGAGACACCAGCGCGTCAAGCTGCGTTCGGGACTGTTAGCAGCATCGGATCGGACGAAACAGCAGAAAGAAAGTGGATCAGGACGAGTGGAACTGCATGAAGCAGGCCAAAATGGCAACGCAGCCACATGCGGTCGATCTTTCGTCACTCTATCGCGTGGTCGTCCGACCATGCATGCCAAAGTGCGGTGCGCGTTCGCAAAAGCCTCAACTCCCTTTTCGGGTTGCTCGCAGGCTAGCACTTGTAAACGAGCATCCATCCCGACAGCCAGCAGACGATGAGGCTCAAAACGAGTGTCCAAGTTCTCCTTTTGTGATCCCGGATCGTAGTGCTGTCCAGGAAGGTATACTAACCCACGGATGTCTCGGCGACACCCCCTAAGGGTTCCGGCTAGGTCCCAACATGCTGTTTGGGGGAAAATAGTTGAATAGAAAAACAAATGAAAGCCGAGAAATGCTGTGCGATGAATACACGACTACATTAATCATTCGCATTCGTGATCACCAGATGAACAAAGCTTTGACAAAGAATCGCATTTTGCTCCAAGTGAGTTCATCAGCTGGGTGGAACGAAACCCATAGCAACACATGAAATTCGATAAACACATTAGAAAAACTTCATCGAGACAAAGGAGAAGACAAAAGCAACAGAAAAAGGTAGGCTTTTCAATAGAAACTAGTGTTTATGGAAGCAAGGTAACACGTAATTGATAGATATACCCAAATCCAGATGTGCGTATTTAGGCTACGTCCGGGACCAACGGTTACGTGTACATAACAAACGCCGGGCATGACCGGCGGGCTCGAGCCCGGTATGCTTTAACTGAAAGATGAGTAAGTCTTTTTCATCTCTCTCATGAACTAACGCTGGATGAACAGCAGGTCGACCATAAAAATTGATAAGGAAGATATGCTAAAATGGCGACTTGCTGGAAAGAAGAAAACGGACATGAATGGGGAGACCATGAGGTAAAGAGAAACGAAAATGACTGATAGACAAAAAGGATACGACAGATGAAGCGAAGTAAACAGCTTGGAAAGGATGGATTCGGGATATTTTTCAACTGAGAACATGCAATCCTAAGAAACAGTGGAGTGATGAGGTGACCTTCCAGTGCAGTGGTTTAGGCAACCGCTTTGCAACATTTAAATTCTGCTAACCAGTTTCTACTACTGCACAGACTGGAGTCATCATACTACACGTTAGCTGGAGGTGGGGAACACCTCAGCTACTGTGCCGCAATACACAGAAAAAAGGAGAAAAAAAAGCAACTGGTGCAAACTGGCTGAGCTACCGGTAACGGATGGGCATCGTTCCGGTAAGCTACCAGCCGGCTGCTGTGCACCAAAAAAATTACTATGCAAAAGTATATAAGCCTAAATAATGAGATCGTGGTTGCAGGAGGAGGCTAAGAGGGATGGGGTGGCACAAAGCAACTCACAACACGAACGCCACTGAGGTCGGCTCCTAGCCAAGTCAGCAAACGTATCCGGCCAAACGTGTTCATCGTCTTTCGGACCCCAACCAGGGCGCCGAGACGCTCCAACCGAGGCCAGCTCAGAAGTAAGGGCCTTCATTCCTCTCGACAAAGTCATCGCTTGGCCACCCCTCTTCTTCTTCCATCCACATCCCCGGCGCGCAAGCAACACACGTCGAGGGAGTCGGTGGGCTGGCATGCGTAACACTTGGCCGAGCCATCGGAGCCTGATGCGTGAAATAACGGTTCTGAGCGGTTCAGTTCCTTTTCCTGTGCCGTAAACAAGATGTCAAACACGCTCCAGATTGGAGTACCCTTGAATTATCCTCCCAGCCCGTATGCAAGTGCTTGCGGTCTCATTACGGAACAGCATCGGTAGAGAGCACTGATGCAACGATGACACAGTGAACGGAATGACCGGCTACTTGCACAAGCACCAACAACTGCAAAGACGTAGTATGTGGATTAAAGAATTACAGACCCGCGCCTTCGCAAGTTTGAGTATGTATTTCGAGCGTGCGGTCCCTAGAGGCCTGCAACCTCATACTTGCTGCGGTTTACTGTATTAATGATAGCCAAGATGCAACAAAAACCGCTGTTGCAACTTTATATGTAAGATAGATTCTGCTGAAATTAAGCTCAATAAGTAGTCCGTTCCTGAAGAGCTAGAGCCATAAACAATAAGAGGTGGAGTAACCAAATTTCAGGTCAACACATGAAAAAGATGTAGCTTAAAATTCAGGTCCAAGGTAAACCAAAATTGCTATGGATGTAGTGAATACCAATTTTCACACATATGCCTGCATTTCACTACAGCCAAAGGTGCAGGGACAATGAAACGAATTCCAACAAAACGGATTCAGCGGGAAGAGAACAAATTGCAGGCAGCTGTGCGGAATGAAGACAGTGGAATAAAACAGAAGTGGGATATATTCCATACCTTGTCCGTCTTCTGACACACGACAGTCGTATCGCCGAACCAGCGCATCTGCTCCCCCACTGAAAACGGTTTTGTTATCCATGGAGGCAACCAGAGTCATCACATGAGAAGAATGCGCCGGAAATGATTGCAACAGGCCACCAACGTTGACGTCCCAAACACTGACAACACCACGACTGTCACCCGAGAAGAGGATATTGCTGAAAAACGAGAAAAAAGAGTAGTTGTGTGAGTGAAAATTGAGATTTTGTTAAAAAAAACCAGGTATGTTCTAGGCCTTCAAATGCAAGCAAAATGGTTCCATTGAAGAAACGGATTATGGGGTCCTGCCTAAGTGTGACAAATGTTACGCATCAGTGTGTACCAGGTAAACTTAAGGTAAAGATCTGATAGTTTTTACTGTGGTATGTTCGACCCTGCCACCCAGAGTAAAACAGACACTTTGTGCTGAAGACGGAAGCCAAAGGAAATGAGGAACGACTTGACAAAAGCGGATGGACAGGAAGTGATGTTTTAGAAATTATGGAGAAAAGCTGTCGCTGGCAATGCCACGCCGTCACCAGCCGTGTAGTTACAAATCGCCAGTGAAACTAGCGCCAGGGACATTGCTGATATGAGGAAATTGAGCAACCGTACCCTTCCAATGAGGATAGGGAGGTTTCAAGATATGACATGAAGTGCGAGTGAGTCATTCATCATTTATTATACACGTTAGCTGCAATTGGAAAGCAGCTATGGTGCCGAAACAAAAAGGAAAAGAAAAAAGTGAAACAGAAACACCGACTGCCACTAGTAACGGATGGATATCGTTCCGGAGGGCTAACAGCCGGCTACTGTGTAGCAAAAAGTCATATAATGCGTATTAATTGAGATCATGGTTGGAGGGGGAGGCTAAGTGGAAGGAGACGGACAAAGGAACTCACAACACAAACGCCATTGAGGTCTGCTTCTAGTCATCTCAACAAGTGTATCCAAAGAAACGTGTACATCGTTCTTCGGCCCCCAACCAGGGAACCGAGAGGCTCCAACGGTGGCCAGCTTCAAAGTAAGGGCCTTCATTCCTCTTGACCACCTCTTGGTCACCTCTCCTCTTTTTCCATCCACACGCCCGACGCGCAAACAACGCACGTCGCGGAAATCGGTGGGCTGACATGCGCAACACGTGGCTCAGCCATAGGAGCCTGGTGTGCGAAATAACGGTGCTGAGCGGTTCGTTACTTCATCCTGCGCCATAAACAAGGCGTCGAACACGCTCATTGCACACATGGTGTTCGCATAAGATATGAGCTAAAATGAGTGAGTAACAGCAGTTTGTCCATAGGGATACCCAGAAATGTGCGATTATGATGGTGGAACAAATGATGATCACAGCTTCATGTGCTGTCGACAAATCATGACGGGACGGCCACATGAAGTGCGCATAAAGAAGTAAACCAACTCAGCAAGAAACAACGGTGCTTGGATGGTCGAATTGTAACACTGAACGTTTGGCTGTATCCCAATCTATAGGTACCATCAGTATGCAATTGATCGATCGCGCTGAAAATGTTTGCCAAGTCTTTCAAAACTTAAACAGCTAATTATTTTATGTGATCCCGTTGTACCGTTTAAGTAAAACACCTAATCGGACTGTATCTCGCACTGTCAAGAAAAATACCAATTATTTATTCATCCACTGTTGGCGGTATCAATTCTAGTGTGTGTTTTTAAATAACCACTTTCATCCTGCTTTTAAACTCTCCTTTTTACCATCTATATCAATTGAACTGCACATTTACCAGATTTTGAACTCTTTCTGAAAATCTGAAATAACATGTACACTTTGAGACGATGTTGCACCATATGATGAGTCCAAGTTTTGGATTGTAACCCGCACAGTCGAGAAATATACATACATTCAACCAGTTTAAACAAAATAATGATTTCGGATGCCACTATCAAATAGCCATAGCGCATAACGGTGAAAAAACGGAAGTACAGTAACCGGAAACTACGTAGAGGAGCCAATGATCTATCAAGTTTTCAGTATGCAACAGCTTAGAGCTAATGAAGGAGATGATAGCATTCACATTGAATAAGAGTAATGGTTTGCAGTCATTAAGCTGAAAGAGAGTGACGAAAAGAATCAAAAGATATGATAGTGGGTCTCCGTGACTCACAGTGCGGTCATAGCCTGCCTCTTTCTGGACAGTCTACACAGTCATTCATGCAGAACTAACTGGTGGCTGTTAGTCAGATAAGTTCAGTTCCACAAATCGCTATGCAGTAAATTGGGAGTACTCCATTAGCCAAAAATCAGCCATGAAAGAAGAGTATAGATGACTTAAAAGGGCTGCCATAGGGCGTAGATGTCAAAGTGAGAAGGTGCGTGTCAGTCGCATAGGTTTTCCACTATCAGCTTCGAATCAAGCATCTGCTGGCCAGCACAACGCAAGCGGTTGACTACATGATGTCAAATGCCCAAAATCAAAGATTTTGAATGCTACCCACATTAACTTATAAAATACATCCGCCTGGGACGAAGCAGTTTTTGCGGAACTGAATCCAACTACTGAGGCTTCTCGGTGCACCTCAAGCATACTTCCATGTTTCGCGAGGATATGCACTGAACATTGGATTGAAAAAAGAATGAAAACAGACAAGACTTTTCAACCAGAAAACGTTGGATCTTTCAAACACTAACCATAGTTGCTAATTTTTGCGTTTTCATTCTGCAAACTTCATCCGTTGGGGATTGGCTCTAGGACGATCTGTTATTCGTACGAATAGTTAAACTGGGTCAATTATGGGGCCCATAATGTAGTATAACTGGGTTGGGCAACAACTGATGATATAACTCGCCATTGCAACCTGAAGGAAAATGCGCTACCTTCAAAACACATAGACAAGCTGGTAGCGCCACAATGAGATTGTGGATACTGGGTTCTACTTCAAGTTGCTATCCTGGTGATAGTATCAATGGTTTCAAGTACCCATTGTGACTGATTCGCGCTTAAGTATTTGAATTGTCTAAAGTGAATACATATATACACGCAGTTAAAAAGTGAAGCATTTCAATGTTACGACATCTAATCCGACGCCATAAACAGCGGGTTCAATTGGCAAATGTTATTTCCCTATCTATTAAGCGGAAATCAGCATAGTGCAACTACTAAATCACATGTGAAAGCTCGATTGAACCGCCTGGAAAATCCTAATGCTACTCTAGGGACATTTTGAAGTTGAATGAGAAAAGGTACATAGTCCCCTGACCAGTAGCGTTGCGTTGCCACCTTCAGTCCTCTCTGACTGGTGCTCCCATCCAAAGGAAAAGTCAAAGTCGAGATTCGGTTGAACTTATATACGCTGTGTTAAACAATGGTTGCATTTATAGGCTAAACAATCGCAAGTGCATTTGCTTTACCCGTAATGAAACGCATATCGCCCGGTGAACTGTTGCGGTGCATCATATATGGTTGTCCACTAGCGTTCAGACGGGTCCATCCACACTGTCGATGCCAGTTGCTCACCTCGCCATATTTGGTCAGTTGCCCACGCGTCCAGTCATAAGTCCGCGGATGAGCATCGCATTTCGTCAGATTCTCACGTGACTCAGCGCAGGCCCACCGATGCAGTGGGCTTGGCCCTACGTTGTAGACCCGTGCATAAGTATTCACGCTGTTTGACCGCCCAATAAGTACAAGCCATCTTCCTGGATGGAAAGCTCGGGGTTAGTTTCACAAGTGACTGACTACCACTATAACAAGCTAGGACGCCAACGAGTAATCACGCATGATATGAGAGGGATGACCTGTACCGAATGCCTCATCAAAAATTTCTTCTAAGCAGCTTGTCTGCTAAACCTAAGATTCCCGAATAATGAATGAACTTCTGACGTCTACAGAAAATTGACCAGAGATCTGAAGATGGTTCCATTAGAGTGTCAGCTCGCAAGCGTCTGTAACAACTTGAAACAGTGACGTCCTGTTCAAAGATTATGAATCACTGATTAGAACCCGCCTAGGCGAGGGTGAAAACGAAGTGTCCAACTCGAATCCAACCGACGATATCGCCTGGTAGCGAAGCGTCAATGCGTACTGGCGTGAAGTGTTTTTGGCGTCAGTAGAGGGACGTTCTATAGGCATGGCATCCATGTAGCGCTGTAGTAAAGGAGAACCGACGGCGCAATCGACGAGTACACGGTGATCTTCGTCCCAGCGGTCAGCTTGTGATTCTTCCATACGCGATCTTCCAGCTTTCCAAATGAAGCAGCTAACTTCAGTACGCGGAAGCTCAGCTTCATTGTCGTCTGTAGGTCCGTTCGTAGCACGCCCCAGAGGTAGCAGAATCTCGATGAGGTCTTCAAAATGTCATCCCTAATCTGGATTTGTAGCAAGCCCAAGGATTCTGTCTCTGTTGACGGCTAAAGAATACCAACAATCATGTGTGTGTTGATGGTCAATCCGAATTTGGTTGCCGTCGAAGGAAGAGCCGTCGACATACGCTGCACCTCATTGTCGCTGTGTGCACATAACGTGCACACGTCGGTAAACAACAGCCTCCGGATGGATGTCTCACGCATTTGGGTTCTCGCCCAGAGACGATGGAGGTTCAGCAACCTAACATCAACATAGCGCTCCATCGTAACAATAAGCAGCATTAAAAGTACAAGGCATCGATGCATTTGGGTAAATGTTAAAAAGGGCAGGGTCTACGAAACAACTTTGCTTCACACCAGAGGCGACTTCAAAGTCATCCGAGGTCTGTCCACTCAGATGCACCCTCGCCCGCATACCACTGCGCAGACATTCAATTAAACTTACTCGAACAACCAAGTATACCCAACATCAGTCACAGTGCCTCACGGTTTACTACATCAAATGACTTAGTGAAGTCACCGAACAGCGAGTATAATAGTTGGTGTCACCGTCGAGCCGCGTACAATACGTCTATAGTGCTGCGGCCCGGACGGAATCCGCATTGCTGTTTTACCACGTTCGATTCAATAACCCGAGTGATGAGGCGGTTGAGCAGGATCCGTGCAAACACTTTCCCCACACAACTCATCAAGTTGATACTACAATAATTCGAGGCATGTTGCTTGCTTTATTCGCCCTTGCACGGTGCAAGGGCATCATACAACTCAGAGGGCGCGTCCTTTTCAAACCATACGAGTTTCACCAAGTGGTGCAGCGCATGTGGCATCGCGGGACCGCCGTGT